ATTTTTTCGAAACCATTAAGCCAAGACCCATTAAATTAAATTTACTTCAAATTAAAGTTGTATTTCTTTGAAATTAGGATATTGTAATGAATTATAGTTTTGCCATTGTAACTCCAATAAAAGTCTGCTCCAATTAAAATGTCAACATTGAAAGTTTCATCCTTAGGAACATATAGATATGACAGTAGTAATATATAGATATCAGGAGTCAACAAAGCATGTAAATATTTCATCATTCATGTCTTGTATTTGTTTTTACACCAGTATTTGTGTTTTCAAATCTGATAAATCCAATAGTTCAGCCCTGTTACAGCCATTTTAAGAATTATCAGGACAGTCAATTAGTAAGATTGCTTGCAAACAATGTGACTTTTGATAGCAATGTTTGACTGGGCTTACTTTTATAGCTTTCCATGGAACAAAATGTTGAGTTTATACTAATTTTATGAATTGATACCCCTCCCCCATGCACCTGGTCTAATCAAATTCAAACTGTATGCATACATCACACATATCCATGTCATTTTGTTTCATAATCTGATTCAAGATCAGATGGATGAATGGCAGCCATTTTTATGCTAAAAATTCACTAAAATCAAGCATTTTTGCTATTCCACCACTAGATTTTGGATTATTAGCATATTTAATTAAAACTAATTGTAAACTATAATTGAACATTATGAGAACTTGATGCACTACATTTTGTTTTTAAGATCAGATTAAAAATGACTAACTAGCGTTTAATTAAATATTAAATGCATTTCCAGAACCATCTCTCTTACACGCCTTGACTGATTATGTTAAACTCGCATAGCCTATGTAATGCAATAACCCTTCTCAGTTTCCAAGGTCGGGGGGGGCATAGTTCAGTTAAGCATTCAGTAGACCTAGATTATGTTAAAACAAGCCTATGCTAACTTGACCCAAATTAAATGCCTGTATGTATCCTACTCTGGTCCACAAATGCCAGGGATTGTGCATATCTCCAATATTCTACCCATCCTTCTCAATTATTTTTTATTTGCAGTAAATATTTTAGTGTTGTGTATTTGTACATCTACATAAATTTATATTTTTTCTCACACTATTATTTGGGACTGTAGGCGCTGTCTCGATCTCACCATTGGACTGTAGGTGGCGCTGTATAGATCTCACCATTGAATTGTAGGTGGCGCTGTCCAGATTTCACCATTCCATATGAATAAATTGATGAAAAAAGCTGTTATCTGTATTATCATTACATCTACACTATCAGTGTTATTTCTATTTTTGACTGATTCAGGTGAGTTAACAGCACTACAGATTATGCAGTTCTAGAATATATATCCACAGAACATATAATCCTAGAATAAATCCACAGAACACATAATCCCACTGTTGTGTTGGCCTGTGCTGTTCTTCACATGTTGCAGTGGTTTTACTGAAAATTACCTCACACAATTTGAAAGTGAACCACAGGAATTCAAGGGTGATACAAAATATTAACTGTAAACTTTTAGGGTATATGAAGATTTTCTCCCTAATGTGACAATTATTCACTTCGGCAAGGAGATAAATCTTTATGTACCTCTCACTTATGCTTGATAATTGCTTATTATATATTTTCTGGTAATATTATTGATTGATAATAATTATTATTATACATCTGTCACCGTATCGCCATAAGCTACAGCGTGCCATAGTTTTGCTGTATTTTACGGGTTTTTTCATCCTACCAAATTAGGAAATGCGAATTCCAAATATGGAATGGAATGATAATAATAATAAAAACAAATATGGCTGCCACCAGAGTTTGACCGGATTCAACACAAAAAAGTCCGCTGATTTTAAACTTTTAAACTTGTTGGATTTCGGCATTCCCATGTTGTATCCTTGGAAGGAAAAGATGTATAATAATAAGGTCATTACAAGAATACCTCAAAGTATACACTTAGACAGTACGCTGTTGCATTAACTCTGCTGCGTGTTGGTGTGTGTCGGTAGCTGTACTGTCTTTGTGCATACTTTGAGGTATCCTCGTAATAACCTAATTATATTTATAATATCAATGGCTTTATTTTATGGATAATGTTTTATCTCATTGAATTGTGATTCACAATTTGTCCTTATATTGTCTGAACTTAATCTCTCTGCAGATGACAAAAGCAAAACTATTAAGAAATTAAACAATATCATTAATGCAGATCCTGGAATTGGGCGAATTTTTCCAAATTTGAATAAGAAGTGCAAACATTTATTGATGATCAGGGAACAAGGCAATGCATTATGGGAAATATGTCGTGACCTTACTGAGGGTATTACCCTGGATAGTCCCTGGGCAGGTGATTGTGTAGGCTTTACAATCAGGTATGTATTCGACACACTGTGTGTTTATGCAGTCAGTCTGGTAGAAGTCCACCACCATTCCATTTATGGTCATTTATATGATGAGTTTTGTGTGCAGGCCTATAATTATCATTTTATTTTGTATATTTCTTGCAAACAGTCCAATCTTTACAACTTTATGTGGACATGTCAGCACATAAAGTTCAAATATTTGAGTCTTTAAAAGTGGCAATAGCTTAAATATAACCACATAAAAATGGCCAAATTTTGCAGAAATATTGTTTTAGACACGATTGCATGTGCAAAGTGTCCCTATACAAGGCTAATGTAATATTAGAGTCCCCGGTCTGGGAATTCTTGGCAGTCTATTGTCCCAGGGCTGGTTGCAGGTAAATAGACCATTCACACCTTGGACAGCTGAGCATACACAAACTTAAACATAGCAATCAAAAACTGCGAACAGATCAGCACATATTACCGTGATTTATCAAAATACAAACATCTGAGAGAAAAACTTACCACATCAACAAAAAGTAAATGTACATAAAAAATTCTCTATTTTCTTACTATAAATAGACCAACCCACTGACCATGCATTGAGTAAGTTTAGTAAATCAAAAACAAAATCCGGGCAAAAAAAAGTCTTCCTACTCAATTCCTGGCAGTGCTAAAGAATTGATACTGCAGGATGTTATTCTTAGAGACATGTCACCAGCATTGTAAACTACATTCCAAATATATGCTTGGAAACAAAAATAATGACACGAAAATTCGAATGGCAATGAAGCAGCTGTATATTATACAGTAGATAATATATTAAAACAAGCACAATAAACAATGACAACTAGATTTAAGCAATCTTTTAAAGGATAAAACATTGATCTTTCTGAAACAAATGATGAATAGAAGGGGCCAACCGATCAACAAGTGTTCCAAGTTGCGGCCCTTGACAGAGTACTTCAAATTTAAGTGTGATATTCATAAATAATATGTCAATATGCTACTATAGAAAGACTTACCGGCTAAAGAATTGTGTTGAGCTTCTAAATCTATATAAAGTATCAAAATTTTTGGTTGTAAAAACTAGAATATGCAGGGAACAATGAATCTATTGTTTCAATAAATTGCTCTGCTATTAAGACTATGCTTTGCGGAAAGCCATATCCTGGGCTTTTCAAGCACTGAGGGTAATTTACAACTTAGACAATAGCCGTTTCCAGACCGGGGTTAGAGGGACTGTGGTGTAAACTAAGGGTTGAATAGCTGAAATCAGTCAAGTGATGGGGACTTGCTTAACACACACTGTTATGGGAAAATTATTAGTTAGTTCATCAGAGAGAGGCTTAGCCTATCAAGATGGTGACATAATTGACATTTCAGGAACCCAGTAAGTTGTTATCTTGTATCATAATCCCTGAGGTTTGCTTGACAAGACTTGATTTCAATAGATAGGGCCCTCTAGTGACCTGGACACAACCCAGCGACCATCTTTTTTCAAATCATCTATGGTACAATTTCAGTATATAGTATATGGTGTTGTCTCTGTGTGTTTATAACATAATGGGGTTTAAGTGACTAATAATAAATGATCATGAGTAGACTGGTGTTAATCCGTAATTTGAAAAAAAAAGAATATTGTAGGTCAATACCAGTGAATGTGCTGCCACTAAAAGTTCTCAGTGAAGGAAACAGTTTCACAGTTACTGGCCCTCGAATCTACATAATTTCATTCTTGTCATTCTCTCATATGATAAACTAACAAAGAAACTAGTTTTAGTCCATCTAATATTATATTTAAATAATTTATATTGTGAATGGATGAGTGACTGATGTGTCGTGTGAAGTAGCATTGTAATGATCATGACCAGTACACCATATTGATTCCCACCGTGGCAGTGCACTACGCTATGTTAGATCACTGCTGTGGGTTGACTGCATTGACTGTGCATATAGGGGTTCGTGCCTGGGGTACATGTATGTAGATGTATCATTAGTCATTCCACAAGGTGGATGTTTTTGGCAACTGTCCTGTCTATGTAATATTTTCAAATTCTATGAGTGGCTGGTGATTTGATGAATACTTTGAAGCCAAATTAAAACTTACAGGCGTAGCGAGTGTACGAACATGGCTGGAAAGCTAGTGGGTGTTAGCCATCGTAGAAGAAGAACCAGCAGTGATTTTAGTTTGACTTTATAAATAAAAAAAACATATCGGTTACTGATACTTTCATTTGTTTATGCAAACTGTGCCCTAGACTGTGACATTTACCAAGAAGGTGGCGCTGAGGAAATGCAAGTCGTGTCGTTTATCAACTATGTATCTAATTTTGCGATTAATGTAGTAATACTCACTACAAAAACAGAACAAATCCATCTCTCTGTACTCAGGTTCTGTAAACATACTCCCACTTCGTTTACCACATTTGCTTGGATAAATCACTCCTGGCTGACATTAATTCATAGACAAGATAGGGCAGCCCAGTCAGAAGGCCACAATGACGGCAGCCCCATCAACCGAGGAATCTAGAAGCACATGCTCTAGATGGGACACTGTGCCTGAGTGTACATAGTACAAAGTAGATGATGCTCCAACCAAATTATTGAAAATTAAAGATTTCATAATTTGATAGAAGTCGAACTAACACCCAACAGTATTTCTATTAATTATGAATTGCGCCCTCAAATGTTATAATAATTATTGTGTGTGCTTTTGTTTAATTTCACTGTGTTCAAGGGGGATGCCATGATGAAATTGTTAATTGTTATAGAAAGATATCGTACACCTATATACAACCGATAACTAATACCTACTGTAACTAAAATACATCTAGTTTATATACAAGTACTGATAGCCATGAGGCTGTGTCATAATATAAGAAGTAAACATTTTGAAAAAGGAATCTGTGATGCGGTTTTAAAGTGTTGTTGTTTGTATTACTTTGTATTAAGATTATTTAATACCTCAACAGCATGTATATGGTCACTTATTTATATATGATGATTTAATTCAAATTGGCCAACTGTCGGTCATCTTGCTTTCTCAAAAATACATTGACAAATTTTGTTCAATTTAGGTTCAAAAACAAGATATAATATACGTATACACAATAGTTTTTTGTTTCATTGACCTTTGACTGAGTAGTGGTTATTTTAGTCATAAATCAACATTTCAACATGTCATCAACGTTTTACATATACATGTATGCCTGGTCTGATGATATTTAAAACTTGTTGTTTAAACACACATAGTGAATTATTGATGCACATTGTTTATGGTCAATCTAAAACAATTATCAACAGATTTTGACATGAGTTATTGTCATCTCTATGTGTATATCCTTGGGGAAGACATCCAGGCATTTTCATAACCTGGAAACCATCATGTTGAAAACAAAGGCAGAAAACTCTGATCAGAAAACTGTACTTTGGGATAGTGGCAAGATCACTCATATATGTAAAACACATATTAAATTGGTTGCTAACGATTACCTCAAAATTTTCACTTGCTCTTCATCCAATAGAAATACATGGTACACCTCTTAGCAACATAGAATTTTCTGTGGCGTGGCTCCACCTCCAACGATATCACACAAATCTGTGCAGACATGTCAAAAATGCACAAGTGGCATTTTACATAAAATAGATTTAATCCTGATATTGTAGTGAATAATTTACCTGATACTATCTCTAGTGTACCATTTGTATTTTTTTTGTAGTTCCCATGGAAACAAGAATCGTGATGCAGTACTTATAAATCATTTGGAGTTTATATTTAATAGGTGTGTTTTTAACCACATTGAAGTGGATGATACTTTAGAAGAATTTATAAGAAGAATAAATATTTCTGATGTAAGTCAAAGTAATCAT